AAACCTGCAAAAAAAAAAAAAAAAAAAAAAAAAACAGAGCAACAACTAAGATAAAGGGTTTGCAAAAGAAAAAACATAAATTAAACCATTTTCATTAAAATAGTAGCTGACATTTGGTCTATCCTGCACAAATAAGATCCAAAGAAAGAAAAGAATCTTTCAAATGCAAAAAGAATTAATCTACAAAAATTTGACCAACTAATCCGACGAATAAATAGTGGACCTAACCCTGATGGTGCAGATCGTTCGATCAACGAAGACGAAGAGATCGCCGCTAGAAGCGACACCAGCTCCGGAGGAAGTTCTCCATCGAATCTAAAGAAACGCCTTCTCCATCTTCAGTCACCAAACGAAGCAGCACGTTTAGCTAACCGCGTGATCAACATCTCTCGTCATCTGTCCCAAAAACGAGACTTCTATTATCAAGGTGCGACCAATCGGATCGAGGAGAACGTCGAAAGGGAAGAGAAAGAGGAACAGGAAACCTTATTTTCCAAAAGGACCTCGGACGATATAAAAACAAGGGACGCCCGTGCACGCAGAAGAGCGAAGATTCGTTTGGATAACGTGAGAAATAGCACTATGGTTGTCTCGAGATCGAGCGAAAGCACCGCTGCTTCGGATACGAAAGACAATCCCAACGAGGAAGAAAGGTCCGATGAAAATTCGTTAATCAAGAACGGTAAAAAGGCGAGTTCGGAAGGAAATTTGGAAAAGCAATCGTCGTTACGGATTGAACCGTTGACAAATTATTCTCAAGGATACTCGTCGTTTTCAGCAAGATTGCCCAGCACTCGTAATCCATATCGTAATCAACGAGACGATTCGGACAGCGATTCATCCAGGTCTCAACGAAACGCGTCGTTTCTTCGTCTTTATTCCAGTATTTCGTGTGAAAATTCAGCGAAGAATAGAGTCGAGTTGCAGCCTCATTCTCCAGTTTCTTTGTGCAACGCTCGACCTACAAAGTTCGGCGGATATAGACCTCCAACTGGCGTGATACTGCAGAACCTCAGTTCCGGCAGCGAAGCTGAGTCTAGCCACGAGATCACGTCGAATAGAATTGGCTCTACTCAGAGAATTGATCGTTTGGTTAGCAATACGATTGCAGTAACTGACAATTCTGCAGATTTGTGTGATAAAAATTCGAAAATTACAAATTTCAACGAACCTTTACCACCTTTGTCCTCGAGAAGATCGCCCAACCGTATGCTGCTTAATTCTTCGAGAAAAGATGTTTTAGAAAGTGTCATCGCGTCTTCTGTGTCAAAGATGGATTTTACCGACGATCAATTTTGTAAAAATTCGAAGGATCCTTTAAATACGACGTGTCTTCCCTCTTCGAGGAAAATGCCTCCTGAAAATTCCTATTATCGAAATGCGGATACCTCCAGAAGCGATTGCAGCAAAAATATGAAGAATTTTTATAAAAACGTCGAGGAGCCCATGTTCTACTCTGCCAGAGAAGAAGTTTGTAATTTCAATAGGGAGGGCTTGGAAACGTCGCCATCTTTGCTGAAAACAGCAAATCCTTCGAATATCTCTCCACAATCTTCAGAAGCTAAAACTTCTAGGAATTTTCAACGCGACACGATCAATCTCGAGAAACATATCTGCAACGAAGGTACGAGACGAGGTGACGAAGAGAAGGAAGAAGAGATGAATTCTTCGAATTCGGGATCCCGTGTGAACGAAAGTCAAAGTTTCGTTCCGACTCAAAGAAGCACACGATTACCGGAGAATATTTTGAAGAGTTCAGACGATAATCTAGAAATTTCTTCGTCGAACATCACCGATTCAAGAGTTCTTCAAGAGGCGATGTCTAGGTATATTTTGAACTACGACAGCAATAACGACATCAAATCTCCACAATCCCAAGAAAATGCATCTTCCCCACAATTGAAAAATTACTCGAGCGATATTCAGAGCGTTGCTTCTTCCTCGGGAGAGTATTTCGTTGATGAATTTACCAAAAATCACGGAGAAACCAAATTGTCCTTAGAATTCACTAAAATCGACCAAGAATTACACGATCAAGAGCTAAACGAAATTACCAACGAGAAAGGATTCGCAAGTGTTCCCACTCTAACCTTAAACTCGCAAGAAGTGTCTCATACGACATCACCAGCCAGCAAAATTAGCTCGGAGAGGCGTTTAGACGCGGATTCTTTGATCAGGACATTGTCGAACTCGTCTTTGAGGCAGCAAACAACGAAAGATGCTTCAGAGAATACCTGCAGTGAATCCTGCATCGATAGCAAGACAATATCCAGGCAAGGATCCTCTGAGAACAATTTATCAACGGATAAACGCTTGGAGTCAACGTCGTTGAAGTCTGATGAGCATCATAGTAGATTGTCCACGTCTAGAACATCCTGTAGATCGTTCCTTAGCACGAGGTCCAAGATTCCAGTGAAGATTCCTACGAATAGAAGTAAGCTGCCGATCGTGAACACGTTAAACGAAGTGGAAAAACCAGTAGATAATCAAGGAGCGAGTCTAATGGATTCTGATAGACAAGTGTTTCGAAATGACCCATCGTCGTCTGAGGAATTTCAATCAGGAAGAAGAGACCAAGTTTCCAGATCCGAGGAAAATTCACCATTAGTGAAACATTATCTTGTCACAAATATCGAAGAGTCTGTTGAAGTTGTATCCGAATCTTCCGTGAATACAGACAGAAAAGAAGAGGATAAATATCCTGACACGAAGTGCAGGGGAAACGAGTTAGAAAATTTCGAAAGGACAAGTCTGACGATGAAAGATCGAGCTCAGTTGAGGACTTGTTTACCTTTGCAAATCGAAACGAGCGACGAGGAGACTTATGAAAGCAAGGTGAAAGAGCAAATCCAAGATTATCGAGCCAATCTTGATGGAACTAATTATAACGAATCATCGATCAATCGTACGAATGTAAGCGACACTTTTAGCTCTTCGAATTCTCCTGACAATCAGAAAGAACGTGAAACAGTACACGAGAAGACCAAGTCGGAGCACAGTGACTATTCAGACACCGATTCAGACACTTCCTCTTCTTCTTCGCACTGTTACAAGATACGAGAGTCCGCGCCAAAACTTGAAGAGCCTGAAGAACTGGACGAACCAGAAGAACCCACTAATTTCATCTCAAGAATTACGTCGATCACCTCTCCGTTAGAGGACTATCAGAGAAAGTATTTGAATACCACATACGAAGGCGAGGTTTTCGACAGGTTCGTTGAGAAAAGAAAGTCGAACCTCTTCGAGAATCAAATAGGTGACGGCAATTATCAAGAGGCACTGATGGAGGACTCGAGCAAGTTGAACCTTCAAGTCACCCCTTTGAACTCATCCCCGGAGAACGAAGAATTATTACAAGTGAAACGAGTCGCCGAGAATTACGACAAGCTTAATTTCTCCATGGAAAAGCTAGCAGCTGAACAATTCCGTAGAAACATCAACCCAGAATACGCGAAAAGCATCCAGTCGGATACTACCGCATTCTTCACGGAGAGATTCTATGAAGTTCCACAGTTTTCTCTCGCTTGCTCCTCCTCGACGTCGAAGCTGCGTCGCGACAGGTCGAGGGACTCGCCGCGTGTCAAGAAGAAGAGCCAGGACAGATTTCCTTTCACGATTTCGGAAAAAACGAGCGTCGCCTCGATGAAGTTCAAGGTCCGAAGCCGGCTGGGCAATCTAGACGAAGACGAGGAGGAAAAAAGCTACAAACTGGACACGCATCCGAGCATAACTAGACTGGCCGGTTCTGGATTCGAGGATTCACCCGCGGAGATCATTAGTTACATGGTTAATACCGAGCAAGAGGATCGTCGTACGAAATCATCGGGTATGAGGGGCCTTGTGGAAAAATTTTCGGCCAGATGGAGGAAATCGAGGAAACACGACGACGAAATGAAATCCGATGCGAAAATGACGAATGTGATTTTTAAAAATCGAGACTACCGGGAAGAATGCGACAGCTCCATGGAGAGTTGCTCGGAATCGTCTTTATTGAGGGACTTCAGGCTATTTGAGAATTTGGAGAAGAAATTCAGTAAGATTGGTGATTCTCCGGATGAAAAGCCGTTAATAGAGAAAAAGTCGTCTACTAGAGAAAACAGCGGGAATACATCGTTAAACGCTGAAAATCCTTGTAGACGGTATGATCGCGATGATCTGTGGGTTCAGGCGTTTAAGAATTTCGATTCTGATCGAGAAGAGAAGAAAAAGGACGAATCTATTTCGGAAAAAGATCCATATTCGGTGTTCTTCGTTAAGAGCGCGAGGGAAACCCCAGAAATTTCTGCTAGAGCACTCCTTTCAGAAGATGACAACCGGAAGCAGAACATTTCGACGGAAAGAAAGAAGAATCGAGTGAAATTTCGAGGCAGCTCTTTGGCCGTAGCGCCAAAACGATCCGACGAAAACGTGCACAAAGAATCCATTAAAAATAAAAATTCAGAACGTGTCAAAAGGAACAAAAACATGCAAAGTGGATGCCTTTGTCTACGATTTTATCGAATGATCGTGCCGGTTTCGTTTGGATCGATATCGAAATATCGATCACAAGTAAATCGTAATTCGTCGTCGATAAAGAAGAAATCTCGTACTTCGTTGCACAAAAAGAAGGGATGATGCCTATTTGCATTTCATGCGCTATCGGTACAACGAGTATTACTTGCTTTATTTTTACAACGATGTATATAAACGATTAACAAAACGTTGCAAATTAATTTCAAGATCTCATGCCTTACCTTTTCTTCCAATGGATTTCTGTTTATACGTGTACATTCATAGAATCACATATCCCACTATTATTTTAGCAAATCGAAATTTTTCCCTCACGTGCGTTAGGTATATTCATGTATTATTCGAATCGTGTTACTTTCTATCCTTTTCTTTTTTTAATGAAGTTATGGATACTCGTCAACAAAATGTACATCGAAATTCAATAACATGAGTCGTGATAAATAGGAGTATGTCATCATTCATGTTCTTTATTTATACGTCGTTCGTACATATCTCATTTATCCTCAATAATAGTGCTGCACGCTTACTTCCATCTTTTTTGTTATTTTTTTTTTTCTTGCTTTCTTTTTCGCCTTTTGCATACGAGTGTGTGGGTCTTTGCCGAAGATGCGCGTCTATCGAGTTTATCGCCTTAATAAAACGTTCTTTCGCTACGCTTTCTTTAACTTATTATAGTTATTATCGTTACCATTATAGAAAAAATAAGTCTTTAAATAATCACATAAGAGTCGTCGAGCCTTCGAGAATCGTGGGAAAAAGGGGGACAGGGAAAAATAGAGAACGTGTTTGTATACATACATGCATGCATACGTGTATTTTGAGAACACACATGTAAACGATTCGTGTATATGTAACCACGCATGTGAATGTGTACATGTGGAGTGATAATCGTTGTGTCGTGTGTATATGTATGAATATGCGCTGCGTGTACCTGTGTGTTAAGTATCCAAGGATAAAGGTAACATGTTTTCCACGAAGTAACAGAGTGGTTGGCTCTATATGGTATTTTCGTTTACCAGCTCCCTCGAAATAACGATGACGTCGCTCTAAGCCTAGAAAAAAATCTATCTACCGAGAAGACCAGTCGTTTTCGCTTTAGTTAAAACTATATATACGAGGTACGCGTTACGCGTTATTCCGCTACACGGCCGGGAGGAGCTTTAATCGATTCGATGAAGGGAGGTGGTCAACGACCACCGAGAGAGAGACCAGCGAAAAGGAGCATAAAGAAAATCAACGTTAAAGGCAACACGTTTCCGCGATCTGCCTTGAGAGTACGCTCTTTCTTTTCTTTCTTCGTTCTTTTTTTCCCCTTTCTGGCGTTTCTAAAAAAGGAAAGGAAGGTCTCAGTCCACGCAGCATGTCCCTACATGTTCACGCGCACTATACAGAAACAGAGCTAATCGGTATGCACGGCGTACGTCGGTAATGGTATTTTTATCTACCATAGAGGGTCTACAACCAAATACTTGGTTAATTTACCGTATAATCGATAACTGTACAAAAGAAAAACATAGGTGTGTTTTACGAAAGAATCAAAATCAACAGAAATGTTACGTGTCAAATAAAAAGATATCGATGGTCGATCATTCACGAACGATTAAAGTTTGTTTCGCTTCGAACGACTACGAGGCAGGCTGGGAGTTGTTGATTTCATGTATGATACTCGTACATCGTGCTAATTCCATCATAGAGTCTGGCAAATCGCTATACGATGCTGAGCAATCGATTTTTGTTTAATTTACAAGTAAGAGTACGTCGATTCAGATTCGTTAAAATCCACGCTTATCGCTTACCATAGCAAAACATAAGTTCTACATACAACACTACTCAACCATGCTAAATGAAAAATTCGTTGGGAAACGTAAAAGGCGAATTGCTTCCTTCCTTTCTCTTTCGGAAACTTCGAGGAACCGCGTGTGTCTTCTGATTCTTCCTTTTGGCCGTTTACCATATGTACCGTTCAAATTCGTATTCGAATTCGCTTACGTCTTGTTCGTTCGCTCATCGTCATCGTCGTCGAAGCTCGTACCATCAGGACGGGACTGACTGGGGAAACGACGTCACAAAGGGGGTGGAATGGAGAACTCTTTCCGCACGTAAAACAGAATATAAGGTTTACACTTGGCGACCGCGTCCGTGGTTGCTGGTCGTACAGAGCTATCGTTAAAGTGAAACCATTGTCCATCGTGAACAGCGAAGGCAGTGTAATGTCCAGTTCCAGCACTAAAATGGATATTCCAATATTTATTGCCAAAGTAAAGATCACATTGTTGTTGTACGGTAGAACAGAACATGAGGTTTACAGTACAAAATATACAGAGTGCTTATAAATTATAAATACACACTTTATAGCCTGATAAAGCTCATTGAATTTTATCTTCTACAAACAATAGTTTGTAATGTTATGTTTAGCTTATATATTTGATTCTGTTTGTTTGATACATCGTCGTCTTAATCTATACAAAATTTATTAACAAAATTCATCGTAGACCATTCGTCTGAATATTTGTTACGAAAAGTGTACTGTGTTACATACAATATGTGTAATTGTTTAGAAATTGGCACACAAACTAATGAAACTGAATACTTTTTAAAACTATTACTTTTAATGTTTCTTGTTTCCTTCAATGAGTTTTATCAGTGTATAAAGTATGAGCCTATAATTTATAAGTACTCACTTTAATATACATCTTATCTAACACAATTACAAAATATGAAAGTATAATACACTGGCGCATTGAAAGAACAACTTGGAACAGTTTGATTCTACTTTATATAAAAGGATTAATATAAAAAACGATATTAAAGCATACCCTGAACCGTGGTGCACGATAACGGCGGCTAAGTCGTACAGGTGGCTATTCGAAGCGCCCAATTTTGTTCCACTCATGCCGCGTACCGTAAATGCAGACATATCAAGTGATTTCATCGGGAAATCCACCTGTGTATCCACCTTCGAACGATAGGAATTGCACCACCTAAATCTTTTAATGTGAAGGCACAACACCTAAAATAAAATGTCATTATTAGTGTTAAAGTTGTACCATATATAGATACAACCATATCGGCAGAAAGTCTGGAGACAATATAGTTTCTGAGAAACAAGTAATTATAAACGTACATAAAGTACTTACTTATGTATCTTTCTAAATAATTTGCGTTCAAAAATTTTAGAACAATTTAATAGACTAACATTAAATAAATTCCTATACTTATTAATTTGTGAATTTAAAGATTCAAGCCACTTATAACTTACAAACAGTCTGATTTGATTTTTAAAGAGAATATTCCTCAAAACTTCAAAATTAATTTTTATATTTGATTTTCTATGAATTTAACGAAGTGATCAATATCGAACAGAAAAATAGAAGATAATGTTTGACATTTGCGCACTAAGAAATAAAGCATATCCAGAGAGATATTGTAAGAAAAATCTATATTTTATTATAAGATGGAATTAAAGAAATTAGTGTTTCCAAACTTTTTGTCGTTAGTTTACATCAATTATTATGTTCAAGAACGATGTAAGTAACAAATTTATGCTAACATTAGGCAGCCTGTGTATCCAGAACCTCTTGGTGGATCTCTGCTTTCCCATGCAATTGTCACAGAAGTACAGTTCACTATCGGCCAGTTCTTCGACTTTGAAGAATCTCGTCAGACTGTATGTGAGACTGCAGACTTCTTCCTGTTCTTTCGTTCGTCTCTGCAATCTGTCCGGTATGTCCAGTGAAAGATCCTGGAAGGGCTCGTGCGTCTTGGAATCTGTACGGCAGTTCATGCAGTGGACCTGCGCGAGGAAACGCGATCCATAATTTGTCCGCGCTTCTCCCAAGAAGAAAATGAATAATAAAATGACTCTCCAAAGGAATGCTGATTCGGAAAGGGCACTCCCTCCCGTCGTTCCGCATTGGAATAACAAAGTGTAACCAGAAACGCATTAACCCTCGCCTGGCGAGCGCCGGGTCATTTTGACCCACGTGGTGTCACGTACAGAAAGTAGTCATCCGGTACTATAATGTGATTGATAAAGCTTTCAAATAATAGAAAAAATAAGTCATACTTACATGGACGGAGAAGATAGTCATAAATTAAAAAAAAAAGACAGTAATGCAGATATTCTTGATAAAATGTGCTGCTGAAAATATTGATTATCATTATTACAAACTTCTAACGAGGAAATTTCAAGTTAGACCACTCGATTTCTGTAGATAACATAAAAATAAAAAATCTGCCTCTAGCTTATGATTAAATGTTCTTTACACTCACTGACCATATCTTCTCGAAATATTACCAAAACAATTACTAGACAGTAAAAACAGACATTCCTCTAAGTTTAAAAGTATCAATACATTAACACAAAATTCTTACATAATAATAATAGTAATAGAATCAAGTTCTAGTATAAAACCCTCCCTCAGAATATGTACAATAAAACTTATACTACAGATCAAAATGGTCCAGCATCCGCCAGGGTTGTAATAGCTCGAACATCCGTCGAGTTCCGAGGGTTAGACACTTAGAGCTTCCTCCGGGAACGATCCGGCGACTTACCACGCTAAGAAGAGTGCCTCCAAACACGGCTGTGACGATACTCTGCTTGCCGCGCAGACCGAGGGGTTCGTGTCCAAGTCTGGGCAGTAGTTGCAGCAACTCCGTGTGCAATCTGTCCAGCATATAGGTGAGAAACTCGTGAGCGTCTTGCTGTTGGTATCCCCGAAATCTTGGTACGACTTTCCAAATTACGAGGAAGAGACACTCAGGTGAGATTGCCTGGCCATTTGAGCCACCTAGGTTTAGCCCAAGCAGGACTTTCCTGAGCTCTTCAGCGAGAAGGGCGTCGCTCATGAACTCTTTTGCCCTACCGGGCGTGACGATTCGCCCTCTGTGAGTGGGTGGCTCATCGAACGGTATGCCCTCAAGGCTTGGCATCTGTGTAAGATACTCGCAAAAATGGCTGATATTGTTGAACGACTGCAACACGACGTTCATAAAACAGGTGTTGCCGAGGTTTCTTAGGCCGACGACCTTCTTCTCTTTGGTTATCTTCGAGCTTCTACGCTTGGTCGCCGGCCGATTGTCTCCGCTCGTGCCGTCCAACGAGTGTAGCCTCTTTCGCGCCGTCCTCGGTCGGAGGTTCCTCACGACCACTTCCGCCTTCCACAGGGCGTCCGTGTCGTTGTCGTTGTCGCTGCTATTCTCCCTCCTCGAGGACGGCGTCGTAGACGGCGACGTGTTCCAGTTCTCCTCGTTCTCTTTGTGCTCATGCTTGGGGAAGGTAACGCGACGTATCTTCTCGATTTGGCCGTTCGTCGTGTCGTTAATAACATACTCGTCGCATATATAACTGAAAGTGCATGTATTTGTAAGTATCGACGTTTATATTACAATGGTAGGTACGGTAGGTAACAAGCGTTCGAATTGTGGGTGGGTTCTTTTTCTTGCCATCGAATGTTTGAAAAATGGCTGCGGTCTATAGTTTAACACAGTGCATAAGATGCTGTAGCTAATTAAATATAGCAGTCATCAGTGCTCAAAATTCCAAATGGGAGGAAAATTGATCGGAAAACGGGTATAAACATTCCATTGTAAAAAATTAAATACACTTTCATTTAAAAAATTAAGGATACGAAACATGTTCGAAATATTAATAACCTCGATTTGTGTGAATATTGCAATGAGAAAATCGTGTTTAAACGAAACAGTAACGGGTAAAATCAATTGTTGTTACATACTTCCGACCATATAAATTGAAGGTTAGGTGCGAAAAAAATTTGATCAAGGTTGGAACACTGCTATACCGATCGAGTAACGCAAGGCTTCGACACATTCTCCCTGATATTCAAAAAATGGCTGCCGCCTACAAATAAAACGAGGGAGAGGCGAGTTCGCGAGATTAAAAATCGTATCAACTGACGCGAGGAGGTTTAGGACCGTTGATCTGTGTCGCAGGAATGGCGAAAGCGAGAGGTTCAACTTACCAGAATACTGCCAGGTTCTCACAGTCCATGCATATGCAGTGTTGAGTATTTTCTTCGTGATGCTGTAATGCATGGCCTGCCACGTATCGTCCGCAGTGAACGGTTCCGCAGTACAGACAGAGCCATGTACTCTTCTCGGTGCCACATACTGTCGACACAATAAAATTCTCAATAAAAATATAGTCTTTGCAGTGCATCTTATTTTTAGTATTACCATTATACGTTAATAATAGGAACGATACGAAATTAAGAAATGAAATTGAACAAATTGAGTCATAGAGATTGAAACAAATGTTCTTCCATGTTTATTTCTCTGGTTATTAAACTCAACTTCTTAAACCTTTAAAAGACTCAATCGGTATAAGTACTATTAACGAGGACTTTAAGTTTAATGAATAAATATGTTTTATACTTTTTAAGAATGCTGGATTAAAAATTATATGATAAAAAAGTATTACTCATAACATACTAGAACTTCCTACTTTATCGACTTGGAATCTATATTGTAATAGTCGTTAGTTAACCTAAGATACTGAAATTAAATTGTGAAATTATTATCTATCAAAACAGGCCAAAAAAACTTAAATATGCACATTTATAAATATCAACTTCTCTCAATCTTCATAAAATCAAACATTTTTTTTCACAAAATTGTATTTTATTTTTTATTCTTCTCAGGCTGATGTTGTTTCAATGGAAGTTCAAGCAATTTTTATATTTGGCATGTTCGACAAGCAGACGCAAGCATGAAAAACGCTCGGTAGTTACGAAATAACGTAAGTTCCGAGTCGGTGTACCATCTTTTTGGCTCGTCTCGGCTTACGTAATTCTCAAGAGAGCGTGTAAAACCAGGGTGAATGGGAGGAAGGCTGTTCGACACACCCCCTTCGCAGTCGATCGATCGCGAAATGTCTCGCAGTGCTATTGGGTTTGAGATTTTGCATGTTCGTTCCTTTTTTTTTTTTTCATGCGTATATTTTTTTCACCTTTAAAATACTTTTAAGCTTTAAAAACGAGTAATCCACGAAGCGACACTAAAAGGGTTTCTGAAAAGAAATATTTCTCTAATTAAATGCGATGAAAAAGTACGTCAGAGAAATCGATGAGAAGGCGCAGCGTGCAACACTAGACTCCCGGGCAATTCAACGTATCTTAAATCGAATCGTTTGATCATTTTTAGTTTTTCATTGTTTACGCAGGTATACGAATTACTAGGTTCGATATTCCTATTCTTGGCTACTAAAATAAACTTCGTGTGGTACAATAAAAAAGAAAGACGTAAAATTTCTAGCGGTAAAAAATACAAGTGCATGAAAATTGAGACGTTGGTTGGCCGCACGAAAAGCGCGAACTGAAATCCAATCTTCTAGAAAATCGTATCCAGATAAACACGCGTTTGTTCTACAATCCCGCATAAGAAGTATTATAGTTCCACGCCCTGTGTCAATTATTTCGTCCTATTTCCTTGAAAAATGCGCGAGCAGCTCTAATTACGCGTTCAAGAATTCCTTCGTGTATTATGAAAAAGAAAATGTAGAAAATT